ATAGATAGTTCCTTTGTGGTGTTGAAGTACTCGATACCACTGCAGACTCATGCCTCCCCACTTGCCATTGAGGCTATTGATGGGAGACCTCTACAGCCTACCCATGTGACCCATGAAACCACTGGCTGTTCACCATGAGATAATCCAATTCCAAGTAATTTCTTCACCTCATTACCCAGTTGCCATTGGTTATCCTTGGTTACAGTAGCACAATCCTTCATTTGATTGGCATGAGTTGACGTTGTGTCATGGTCGCCACAATGCACTAATACTTAATTTCAGAAAGTGAGTAGGGTCTTGTGCACATCTTCAGTCTCTTCTTTGCCAGAGGAGTACAGGGAATTCTCTGACATCTTCCACAACAGTCAGGCTGGTATTTTGCTGCCACATCAGCCTTATGACTGCACAATTGATCTTCAACCTGGTGCCATTCCTTCTCATGGCTGGGTTTACCCTCTGTCTTGGATGATAAAGCTATGGAGGAATATGTTGCAAATTCACTCTCTCAGGGATTCAATCACAAATCCACTTCTCCTGCTGGTGCTGGGTTTTTTTTTGTGAAAAAGAAGAGTGGTGAACTGAGACCCTGTATCGATTATAGGGGTCTCAATGGCATTACTATTAAAAATGCTTATCCAATCCCATTGATAATGGAATTATTTGACTGCCTCAAGGGAACAACAGTCTTCACTAAGCTCGATTTGAGAGGGGCATACAATCTTGTGAGGATTAAAGAGGGCGACGAATTGAAGACTGCATTTAATACTAGGAGAAGACACTATGATACCTCATAATGCCCTTTGGTATCTGCAACGCTCCTGCAGTTTTCCAAGAATTTCATAACAATGCTGTAGCAGTGTGGTGGTTTACCTCGATGATATTCTCATACACTCAAAATCCCTAGGGAACCATCACACAAACGTCTTCTGTGTGCTACAGAGGTTGAGAGAGAACAACCTGTATTGCAAGTTGGAAAAGTGCGAACAGGTTAATTTTTTGGGTTATGTCATATCTGTTGCTGGGTTTTTGATTGACCCAGAGAAACTGTCTGCAGTCTTACAGTGGCCTCAACCCATAGGTCTACATTCTCTACAGCATTTTCTTGACTTCGCCAATTATTATCGGAGATGTATTTGTAATTTCTCTTCTCTGGTCAAACCCCTGACTGATATGACCAGAAGGAGAGCAAACCACAGAACTGGCCTCAGGCTTTCATTAAAACCTTTGAATCCCTCAAGGTTGCTTTTGCTGCAGGCCCAGTGCTGGCACATCCCTGATCCTATGTTACCCTTCATGCTTGAGGTTGATGAGTCTGAGACTGGAGTAGACTCTCTCATGTCTCAACATCCTATCTCTGTTGGCCCTATGCATCCTTGTGGCTACTTTTTCAAAAAAATTGTCTCCAGCAGAATGCAATTTTGAACACAGAGAATTATTAGCCATCATTTTAGCCCTTAAAGAATGGAGGCATCGCCTCAAGGGTACTACTGTGCCAGTCCTCAATTGACTGACCATAAGAACCTCATATTCTTGTCTGAGGATAAATGCTTATCTCCTAGCCCCTTTTCAAGCTTTAATTACAGTCTCATTCAGGGGCGGACTGACAACTCATGGGGCCCCCGGGCAATAGAGGGTCATGGGGCCCTTGTGTCCTTGCCCAAACTCAAAAAAGCGTATGAAAAAGGTACCAGGGGCATCTCATGGGGTCCCCTACTGACCCCGGGCCCTTGGGCAGTGCCCGAGTTTCCAAATGGTCAGTCCGCCCCCTGTCTCATTCTTACCCGGTACAAAGAATATAAGGGCAGATGCATTATCGCGGTAGTTTTCCTCCTCTTCCAAAATGGAGTCTGCTCTTACTCCTGTGATACCTTCGGACCGCATTTTAGCCACTATTCACACTGGTCTTGCTTCACCTTTGGGTGAGAGAATTCTGGCTTCTCAAATCCATTCTCCTCTGGAAAACCTCATGACCATTGCTTTGTCCCCAAGAATCTCCACACTGCTTTGCTCCAGACCTACCATTCTTCCAAAGCAGCTGGGCCCCCAGGGAAATATTGACTTATATATTGTCTATTTATTTTATTGTGGATTTACCTAGCTCACTTCCACGATTGCGCTTCAAGCTGGTTGTAGTTCTCTTCCTGTACAGATGCTGCTGGATCGGCTTCATAGCACCATTACTCTACAGGACAGAACCTCCGTTGTGCCTTCACACATCTCCATCAGCCCAGTATACATCCCCCATGCCACCGGTGGTGCCTGTAGGATGTTGAGGAACGATCATCCCTCTCTCACACACAGATGAGCTTGTTTTTTTATTACTCTTGTGAGTGTTTTTTATCCTTTACCACTAAACATGGTTTTAATTACTGCACTTAGATGGGCGCCTCCTGTTTCTTTCCTTTTGTTCTTGCCTAAAGAGTTGGCTTTGCTCCTAGGATGGCTGCCGCTAATTTGCGCTAATCTTTGGGCAGATTGCTCAAGATACCTCCAAAAAGACTTTTCTGTTTGTTTATGGACATTATTCTTTATTCCACAGTGTTTTACATCATTGTTAATCCTTGCATCACTCTATATACATTTTTTACCTCATCTCTGTGCGCCAGAATTACCTTCTTACAAGCTGTAAACTCACTACTTTACATTGTAGCAAAGTGTCATTTCTTCAGTGTTGTCACATGAAAAGATAGAATAAAATATTTACAAAAATGTGAGGAGTGTACTCACTTGTGTGATATACTGTATATATACGTCTTTAGTTGTAGCATGACAAAATGTGGAAAATTTCAAAGGGTATGAATACTTATTCAAGGCACTGTGTTGCAGACCACTATAACAACTGGTTGGACCTGTTACCTTGGGCAGAGTTTACTCATAATAATGCCATCAATGCTGCCTCCCGATTATCTCTGTTTATGGTGAACTATGGGTTGCTATCCATGTTGCCTGATACATTCATTCCGCACTGAATTCCTGCGTTAGAGGAACATCTTTGAGAACTCTGTTCCACTGGGATGCAGATCCAAGAATCCTTGCAATGCTCCAGAGAGAGATACAAACTCCATGCTGACTGCTGATGACTACCTGCACCCTCCTACCAAGTTGGGTAGAGGGTCTGGCTGTCTTCCCGTAGCCTCCGACTTCGTGTTCCCTCACTATAACTGGTGCCTAGGCCTTTCCGCATACTCCGTAGGGTTAACTCAGTGGCATATGCATTAGATCTTCCTTCCAACATACGTATTTCCAAGGTATTCCATGTTTCCTTATTAAAACCTTTGGTGTGTAACAGCTTTACCACCTTAGTACCACGCCCTCGCCCAGGTTCAGTTTGACAACGATGAGGAATATGAGATACAATCTCTCATTGACTCCCATACGTTTTGTGGATGCATACAATATGCAGTTCACTGGAGGAGTTACGTTCCAGAGGAATGCTCTTGGGTCTCACCCTTGGACGTACATGCTCCTGCCCTCCTCCGTGCTTTCCATTTACTTTTTCCTCTCAAGCCTGGTGCCCCCCTGAGAGGGAGGGTTCATTAAGGAGGGGGTACTGTCCAGGCTGGGCTCCTGCTACTTAATGAGCAGCTCTTTTCTTTCAGTGCTCAGAAGCTGCTTAGCTGTCTGGTAATTACCAGCCACTTGTTGTCTCCACAGTGTCTGACCTGGATACCATTGCCTGCCTCATTAGTCCAGCATATAGCCAGCCCTTTTTGCTATTTTAGCAGCTTAGCCCATTCCCTCCTTGCCCTTGCATGGTCTATGATCTCCAGTGCGTTCCTGCCTGTGTTCCTGTGTACAGCTCAGTCTGGCTGACTTCTCTTCTGATTCCTGTTCTTGACTACGCTGACTTCTGGTTTTCTGACTCTAGCTTGTCTGATAACCTGCTCTAGCATCCAAACCCTGGCTTCTGTTTTGACTATTTTCCTGATCTATGTTATATTTGCTATTTCCTTAAAGGTGTGATTTTAACTGCGCTTTCTGTCTCCGCCTAGTTCATGGTTCCTGACAGTGACTAAGTGTAATTTCTTCTGAACACTGCCCGTTCCTCTGCTATAAGCATGAATCACTTCTGACGAGTTTTTCTGACACCAAAAGAAAAAAAGGTGATAGAGGAGTGCTGTGTAAAGGGGGGTGTCCCTTCCCCCAATCAGCTGTCAGAGCTCTCCTCACTCGTGTAACGTCATCTCAATGCTTTTCAGAGTTGAGAGATCCTGTGTAAATTCTGCACTTTGAATGGACATAGGGGAAAGACGCCTGTGGATACACAGGTACACTTTATGTAGGAGGATTGTTGTTTAATCTCTGTGTATCACTTGAGGCTAGTCATTTCACTGGGTATTTGTAAGGGTTTACAACCACTTTAAGCTCTTACTAAATTTTATAATTGGTATTGTATAAGTGTAAACTTTTTTATACTTGGCATGGAAGGTCCTGAAAAAAATTATGGGGTCCTGTTTTCACTAAGCTTGAGAACCTTCAATAAAGATGATGTTATAGCTCAGCTGTTATAGCTCAACCTTCAATAAAGATGATATTATGATCAGCTGACATGATCACATGATTAGGGACCACTCGCATGAACTCATATGATTAGGATGTGACTTTCTTTGTGTCACAAACCTAACTCCTTTATGTCCCTTCCCTTCAGTTACTAATTTTTCCAGCAAATATTTGTGAAATATTAGGTAGAAACAATTGAGTACTGTCCGTGATACTTTTTTTATTTGCACTAACAAACAATTTTGAGGACAAGCTTTCAGGGAGTGTCCCCTTCTTCAGGTCAAAGCAGTACTGCTTTGACCTGAAGAAGGGGACACTCCCTGAAAGCTTGTCCTCAAAATTGTTTGTTAGTGCAAATAAAAAAGTATCACAGACAGTACTCAATTGTTTCTGCCAGAAATGCACTAATATGGCTACAATCACCTCAAGTGAAATATTAGGTGAATTGTCACATTTTATCTGGCAAAACATGTTTAAGAACAAAATCCTACCGGAAGAGGTCAGTGTTTGTAGAGGCGGCAGGAACCTTTCCTTTTGCAGTTCTGGCTCCCCCACTTTAGACAGGTGCTGTCAATTAGAGCCCCGAGGTACATGGGGGCCGGGACCCCCGCTGGAGAGGACAAACACAGAGATATGAATTACTCCTGGAGGTGACAGATTCCTCTAACTCTATTAGATTGTTCATTAATTTCTAACCTGCCAAGCTGTGAAGTCTAAATAACTGTAGATATAGTTAGAAAATAGAAATGAGAAAAGTAAATTCACTGAAAATTCCTTTCATTACAATATGAGCTTCTCATTCCACCATACTTAAAAACGGGGGGTGTTGCTTTTTGACAACCAAATTGCCACCATATTTGTGACATGATCATAAATGGTTTGATGATGAAGCCAAAATTAACACTAGTTAGCCCAAATCCTAACTCCTACCATAACTCATACCATAACCATTTGTGTATAAACAAAGCCATGTGATCATAGTTTCAGTACTGATGATCACAGGGCTAGGTTGAAGGGTTTAGGATTGCTGGGTTCCTCTATATCAGATGTTCTTAGCGAATGAGGGTCTACTTTTTGGTAAAAGAACAGGTAAAGGATAAAAAAGAAAGCTTCTGTAATCCTCAGGAGATAGATAAAGGCCACAGTATTCTTAAAAAGTACTAAAACCTACCTTAAATTATTCTTGACCTTTGACACCAATATATTTCACTAAAATGGCAATATTTTGGCAAAATCTCCTGATCATCTCTGAAATTGTGTCCTGAAAACTCCCAAATTGTTCTCATTCTTATTATAGAATAATAAACACACAGCACATGTGTCTATTTAAATGGAAATTTCTATTGAGGCTCCAGGGACATGACAGTGGACTGACACTGAATCTTTAATTAATGAATATAAAATCATGGCATCTAAGTAATTTGTTCTTACCAAGAACCCTGATGGCCATTGTGTAGATCCCCAGAGCCAGAGACTTTAGCTCAGGTTTAATACATCTGAAAGGACAAAGATTTGTCAGCCTTTGTTTGTGTCGGACCCGGCTCAGCACATATCATAAATTCATCTATATAATACCACACTGCGGGTTAACGTCCCATCCTAACAGTCAGACCGACTACATTGGCATGACAGACATCAGACAATGGAGTGATTGCCATATGCAAGCCATATGTATGATACAGAAAATCAGACAACAACCTACAATCAGTTATAGGATTAGATTGCAGCATTGTAAAGTAGACCGATGCATTGTAGCCTGGTGATAGTACATGTCTACTCTTTATATCTCTACAGCCATTAATGACTGACATGCATTGGAAAACCAAAGCATAGTGCCCTTTGTGTAATATTTGTCAATCTTTTAACCTCTAACTTCACATGTAGAAATGCACATCAAGTAGAGGTTCAGGAGATTGGTACATACTGTAAGACTGCAGTTGCCTCAATTAATTTATTATTACATTGTAACAGAAAACTGAACACCAACAAAAACATGTTACTTTGTTCCGCAAACTATGGTGGAGGAGGTAATAGTACATGAAATGTGTATAATATGAAAAATGTAGGAGAGCAAAACTGAGAGTTTTCACTCAATTCAAAACGAGAGTTTGAAATTTTGTTGAAAATTAAAACATTTCTGAGAAATGCATTGGAGTTAATGGGAAAGGAGAAATTAAGGTGGGTTTTTAAAATGCAATAGATTTTAAATGGCTCTTGGGAGTTTTGGGAGCTCTTAAATTGGTTTTTGTTTACTTTTTTAAACTTTTTTTTAACCTTCTATTTACTAATTTTACTACATTTACTACATTGAAGCCTGCAGAGTATTGTACCTGTGATCAGTGCATTGTGGGTGCAATACATTACAATGTGTACCCCTTTAAAGACCTTCTATTATGGAGCTAGAGAAATCTCCATATCTACTCCCAGCTAGAATAAAAAAAAATTCTTATCAAACATCTCAACTCCATCTAGTGATCTTCTGAACTGGTATTACTGGTTACAAGAACCAGACAATGAGGATGGGTTCACATACACTATGTTGCCAAAAGTATTGGGACACCCTTCCAAATCATTGGATTCAGATGTTCCAAACACCTCTACGGCCACAGGTGTATAAAATCAAGCACCTAGGCATGCAGACTGCTTCTACAAACATTTGTGAAAGAATGGGTCGCTCTCAGAGCTCAGTGAATTCAAGCGTGGTACCGTGATAGGTTGCCACCTGTGCAATAAGTCCATCCGTGAAATATCCTTGCTACTTAGTATTCCGCGGTCAACTGTTAGTGGTATTATATAAGTGGAAGCAACTGAGAACAACAGCAACTCAGCCACTGAGTGGTAGGCCATGTAAAATGACAGAGTGGGGTCAGCACATGCTGAAGTGCTTAGAAGTCGCGAACTGTCTGCCGAGTCAATAGGTAAAGACCTCCAAACCATATGTGACCTTCAGATTAGCACAACAACAGTGTGTAGAGAGCTTCATGGAATGGGTTTCCATGGCCAAGCAGCTGCATCCAAGTCTTACATCACCAAGTGCAATGCAAAGCATTGAATGCAGTGGTGTAAAGCATGCTGCCACTGGACTCTAGAGCAGTGGAGACGTGCTCTCTGGAGTGATGAATCACACTTCTCTGTCTGGCAATCCGATGGATGTGTCTGGGTTTGGTGGTTGCCAGGAGAATGGTACTTGCCTGACTGCATTGTGCCAAGTGTAAAGTTTGGTGGAGGGGGGATTATGGTGGGGTTGTTTTTCAGGGGTTGGGTTTGGCCCCTTAGTTCCAGTGAAGGGAAATCTTAAGGTGTCAGCTTACCAAGACATTTTGGACAATTTCATGCCCCAACTTTGTGAGAAAAGTTTGGGGATGGCCCCTTCCTATTCCAACATGACTGCGCACCAGTCCACAAAGCAAGGTCCATAAAGACATGGATGAGCGAGTTTGGGGTGGAGGAACTTGACTGGCCTGCACAGAGTCCTGACCTCAACCCGACAGAACACCTTTGGGATGAATTAGAGCGGAGACTGTGAGCCAGGCCTTCTTGTCCGACATCAGTGCCTGACCTCAGAAATGCGCTTCTGGAAGAATGGGCAACCCTTCCCATAGATACACTCCTAAACCTTGTGGACAGCCCTCCCAGAAGACTTGAAGCTGCTATAGCTACAAAGGGTGGCCCAACTCAATATTGAATGCTAAGACTATGACTGGGATGCCATTAAAGTTCATGAGCGTGTAAAGGTAGGCGTCCCAATACTTTTGGCAACATAGTGTATGTGCAGGGCTGGCTTCAGTGCAATTTGTAAAAGAGTCTGGTGCAATTTCTTTCAACTGAAAATAGTACCTGACTCTTTTTAAAATCGAATTGGGCCAGCCCGTACATATGTGAACCGGCTCCGTAGAAAGCAGATTTGGTTCACATGTCATGCAACTCAGATGCGGTTCAAAATGCATTCAATTTGCATATATGTGAACCAGGGCTGAAAGTAACAAATACAGAATTGTACAATTTATAACCTGATGTTTGTATACCCCTAACCATCACACTTATATGAGCTTGTTTGAAATCCCTTTCCAAAACCATGGACATTAATATGGAGTTGACCTTCCCTTGCTGTGTGGCTCTAACAGCCTCCTCTATTCTGGGAAAGCTTTCCACAAGATTTTGGAGTGTGTCTGTTTGGCCCATCTGTGGGGTCAGGTACTGATGTTGGATGAGAAGACCTGACTCGTGATCAGTGTTCCAATTCATCCCAAAGCCATTAGTAAGGTTGAGGTCGGAGCTCTGTTAAAGTTACTCAAGTTTGTCCACACCTGACTGGTTGCACCATGTCTTTATGGAGCTGGCTTTATACACAGGGGCACAATCATACTGAAACAGAAATGGACCTTCCCCAAACTCTTATCACAAAGTTGGAAGCACACAATTGCCAATAATATCTTTTGTATGCTGTAGTGTTAATTGTAGCTTTCACTGGATACACCTGAACTCAGAGGGGAGTTCACATAATTTTAGCCATATCCTGTACCCCATGATGTATAATATCACATTGTCTCCTAGTCTAACCCTCAGTAGAAACAAGGGCTTTTTCAGTCTTAAAATTGCTCCTAGCTTATGAGCTACTGTATTGTACTAAGCATCGTGATAAACCTCCAGAGGAGTATGCGCAGGGAGTGGAGTCACCTCAGTAGTAGGATGTATCCAGGAGTCCCTCCAAGAGATAGCGTGAAAGATGTGACCACAGATATTGCCATAAAGTACAGGAACATTCTAGAGCAATGTCTTTCTTTTGAGCATGGACCAACTGTGGCAGAGCCACCACTTGAACTCAATATGGGCTGCTTCACACAACTGCAGTTGTAGTAAACCTGTAAGATAGAATGCACAGTGATGCCTGGATCATCTAATCAGACTTGAGCTTACTGTTGACATACTAGTGAGAGGTGAATCATGACTGGCCATTGTAAATCTCAGCATTTTCTAGTTTTAATTTCTTTTCTCCATTTTTACATTTGTACTGTTCAGCAAACAGTCTTGTATATTAATGGGTCACTTACTGCAGTGTTTCCAGTCCCGTTGGACATTCGGCAGCCCGCATAGCACGCAGAATAATAGGTGACCCCGTTGTCTCCGCAGACCGGATCCCATTGATTCTTTGGACAGAGACACCGAAGATTACATTGTGAGATAGGGCTTTCCTGAGAGGAGATCTGTTGGGATCTAAACAGATTGCATTGTGTCAGCTTTCATACATCTGCCTGCTGACCCTTCCCTATGATGGGAATTCTTCTTATCATCCAATCAAAGTGATCTTACCCTTCATAGGAGAAAGTCAGGCCAGCCACTGGGGACTGCTCACAGCCCAGCGCAAACAAGGTCATTAACATCAAGTATCCAATCACAGCAGATATCAATAACAGTTTTGCCGCTCCTAAAATATTAATGCGGAATTTCTTCATCACAAGCCCCCCAGAGAAGATCCCTAGAGCCACGGCTGGAATATTAATGAGACCTGAGGGAAAGGAGACAATCACATTAGACTTTGCTAAAGGAACAAGCAGACCTGTATAACAGACAGACCACTGATGTATGAATCATTCTTCCCACTGACCACCAATGTAAGGAACATTCTTCCTACTGGATACCAATGTAAGGAACATTCTTCCCACTGGCCACCAATGTAAGGAGAATTCTTCCCACTGGCCACCAATATAAGGAGAATTCTTCTCACTGACCACCAATGTAAGAAGAAATCTTCCCCCACCAATGTGACCACCAATGTAAGGGACATTCTTCCCACTGTCCACCACCAGATTAAGGAGACTTCGTCCCACTGACTACCAATGTAAAGGACATTCTTCCCACTGACCACCACTGTAAGGAGAATTATACCTACTGGTCACCATCGTAAGAAGAATTCTTCCCACTGAGCACCAATGTAAGGGACATTCTTCCTACTGACCACCAATTTAAGGAAACTTCTTCCCACTGATTATCTATGTAAGGGTTATTCTTCTCACTGGTGTTAAGGTGATCCTTTTCCGATCACCAGTCTAAGGGGCTTACTCTACTGATCTCCTGAGGGAACAATGCAATTTTAGTGAGTTTATTTTCTGTTCATCATCATCATCATTATTATTTGTTCTATTCCATTAAATATATACAGTATATTATCCTTTATTTGCCATGTACGTTTTATCATAACTTAGTGTTCATGTTAATGTATCATGAGCCATAGATATAGTAATTATTAGTAGGATTTCCCTGAGACTTGAAATTATTTCAAGGATTTCCCAGTCTTAAAGAGATTGAGATTCCAACCAAAGTGAAAAAAAAAAACTGTAAAAATTAATCTGCAGAGAAATCACACCAATTTATAAAGAATTTCTGCCTGTTGTGTTACCCAGAATTGTTGCTGATAATCTATCGTACTCTAAAGTGGCTGTAATGCATTATTATTCTCCGCAGTAGGAGACCAGGTATACTGCCCATTGTGTTCTCTATTTTTTCACACAAATCTGTCATCTTGCGGAGTTTTCTGTTAGCAGAGAAGATACTGCTGACCCCATCATCCTTCATCCTCCATTCACCCCCCCCATACCTGCCATATTATTATACTGATATAAAATTAGTGTACGTATCTCTACACACTGCCCTGCATCATATGATCCATCTGGGGAAACACCCAGATGTAGTTACTGCAAATCAATGAATGTGGCAATAAAAGGGAATTATAAATTTTGTATGCAGAAGGGTTGCGGAAAGATGTAGCTATTGCAATTAGCAAATAGAAAACTTTATTGCATTAAACATAATGAAGTTTATGATCGAACAATTAATTTTACAGTATAACTGCTCAACCTTCACATTGTCCCATAAACAACCAACTCATGAAGGAACAGAAGGACCTTAATGACTGTTAGAGCTGTGTGTCACAGGACTGGTCAGCCACAATTACAAATCATCAGGCTGTTAAAATGGTAAATCATATATGTATGTGTATCAGCGTCACCTAGGAATTTGGCAGCTTTTCTGGAGTTCTACTTTAAAAGGGATATCCTAAAACTGAGGGTGATTGGTCCTCAGGGCAGAGCTGTACAACCCTCTCACAGATCCCCTTCATCACAATAAATGCCAGTACTGGAATTCACAGAACATTACTGAACACAAAATTGTATTTGATGACACAGTGCTGCTTTCTAGTGGCTCTTTAATGACACCGCAAATGCTGCAAAAATTCGAGTGAAATTCCAATATTTAAAAAAAAAATTGGCAAACTTAATTGCAGTTTCTTTTCTAGTATCTGGCCTGTCAATACTGAGGTTTTGACATTAACCTATAAAAATTGTCTGCAAACTGGGGGAAGTGGGGGGGGGGGGGTCATATCGTTGGTGTCAGTGAGAGAAACAGTGCCCAATTGTTTGTATCACTGGGAGAAATTGTGTGGTATTGTTTGTGTCAGTGTGAGGAAAAGTGTCCCATCACTGGTGTCAGTGGGAGCAATTGTGTCCCATGGTTGGTGTCAGAGGGAGCAAAAATGCCCTATTGTTGGCATCACTGGAAGAAACAGTGCCCCATTGTGACAGACCCAACCATGACAGGGACTTTTGGGGGGAACTGCAGGCTACCCTCTTGCCTACTGACCATGGTCCTTTCATCTGAGGGGGCTATTCTGAGGTGTGTGCCTGGGGGGGGACCTTTGGAGAAGTTTGCTTTGGATTCAAGTCCATGTCTCACCAAAACACACTGACTCTGAGAACTGGAGGACCAGGATACAGATTTGGGGTCTCTGTGCCCAAACCAGCATTGACTGTGTCACGAACACTGGCTGCAGGGACCTTTTCTGCCCACATTCACCCTGTTATTCTTATATTTCCCTTTCTGTGACATTTTTGAAGGACTGTTTTCATGTAGCTGCCCTAAAGACTATTCCTGGTTTGTTTTATTTGGAACTATACATGTTCCTTGAAAGAGCTGGTCACAGTGGTCTCTATTTCATGGTATTCCTATGTAGGCACCGGACTGTCCGGGTGGGCTCCCTGATTAATCAAAGCATTGACTGAGTGCTTGGCTGTTCATTAGCTTACTGTTAGTTAGATCACTGTTAGCTGTTGGCTGTACTGTTTATTGTTTGCACTGTTTAGGATAATGTGATCAGGCTATTATCTAATCAGTGTGGGATGTTTATCCCAATGTGTAATATTTGTTTTTATTGTTTATGTGGGTACTTGCCCTATTTGTGACATGTATAAAAATCTGTGTTTCTGTTCAATAAGGTAGTTCCAGTTTCCATCAAGCTAGTCTGGTTTAGTCTTGGGTGCAATGCCCAACTATGATACCTTGGTCCTGTGTCCCAGTGGCGAGGAAGCGGTTCTCTTACGGAATCACCCAATCAGGATGACAAGCGTTCCGTCACACCCATTAATGGTCTAAGTTGGAGCTATAGTGCCCTATCATGTCGGGAGAGGAATAATGCCATATCATTGGTGTCAGTGGGAGGAATAGTACCCCATTCTTGGTGTTATTGGGGGGAATAGTGCCCCACCAATGGTCTCAGTGGGAAGAATAGTGCCCAATCACTAGTGTCAGTGGGTGAAATAGTGCCTGTTCATTGGTGTCAGCTGGAGAAACAGTGCCCCAAGGATGGTTAAATACAAACCAAAGGTCACAGTTAAAGTTTTTAGTGCATGTTTGGCACAGTGATAAACTGACCGATGATGAAGTTTGTTCGGGTGGAAGTCTGTCCATATTGCTGTTCAATGTATTTCGGTTTGTAAGTTACCATCCCAACCAGAGAGTTGAACTGGAAGACGCTGCACACACAGGTAAAGGAGGAACACTGGATTACCCAGAAGGTCCTTCACAGATGGCAGGAAATCTAAAAGAGGTAAAGAAAAAAACAAGGAAATTATACAGAGCTGTCTCAATACCCTATTGTGTCACTAATAAACAGGAGAACTTGGGGGGGGGTATACCTAGAAAATACATTTAAAAAGTAATTTCCCTTTCGGAGATTTCTTTGTGTAGTTTAACACCAGGGGCCATCTTAATCTCTTTCAGAGATATCACAGCAGCCAGGTGTCACTTTCTAGCATAATTCTCAGATGAACCTCTGAGGGTAATCAAAAGGTATGTGAATATGTGTCCTTTGATCTGTACTCTACACACCTAGTTTGAACAACCCAAGTATAGATCAGGGAGGTCTAATTCTAATTATATTATCACAGCCCTAAAGTGAGATTAATGTACAAGAAGTGGTAAAAAGCGCCTTAGTAAAAATCAACAAGCTGCTATGCACAAGATAGGTACCAATGACCTATGGAATGGACAATATATGTGAAAGGTGCAGCGCTTGTAAACAATATATATGCAAAAGTCCCTGGTGGATCAAATAATAAAGGATATGGGGTAGTCCCGTAAATACAAGTAAATATAAATAGTTGAGGTGACTTTGATATCCGTGTAGAGGTGGTAATGAAATGCGCACTCACCGGACGCGCATATTAAATGCGCCTTGTGTATAATTATCCTGCTGCCAGGTGATGGGTGGTCTTCCCTCTATCGGATCCTAGGTAAGTTGTCCTTCTCCTCAAAAGGTCCCCCTATATGGTCCTAGTGGATGTTGTCACTCCGAATGGCCAGAGCTCAGTGGACTATCCACGTTTCCTGCTTCCCATGCAGTGCCAAAAGCCCACCATTCACTACACACACACTCCTGGAGTGTGTGTGTAGTGAATGGTGGGCTTTTGGCACTGCATGGGAAGCAGGAAACGTGGGTAGTCCACTGAGCTCTGGCCATTCGGAGTGACAACATCCACTAGGACCATATAGGGGGACCTTTTGAGGAGAAGGACAACTTACCTAGCATCTGATAGAGGGAAGACCACCCATCACCTGGCAGCAGGATAATTATACACAAGGCGCATTTAATATGCGCGTCCGGTGAGTGCGCATTTCATTACCACCTCTACACGGATATCAAAGTCACCTCAACTATTTATATTTACTTGTATTTACGGGACTACCCCATATCCTTTATTATTTGATCCACCAGGGACTTTTGCATATATATTGTTTACAAGCGCTGCACCTTTCACATATATTGTCTAAAGTGAGATTGTGTTTAAGGGGAACAAAATAAAGTACCTAGGACGGGAAGCTAAGCAAGTGTTGTTTGCTGTTACATATTTATATCTATAAGATAAATATAGTCATAATTCACATTTTAATAACAAACAACATTACCAGTGTGGCAATGAGATCTCTGTACAATGCACATATTACATATATACCAGTGTGTCATTGTGATGGGACACCCAAGTGTCAGTCAGTATGCTACTGCTCTGGGACCTCCAGTTGTCAGTGTGCCATTGTTCTGGATGCTCAAGTGCCAGTATGTCATTGTTTTGAGATCCCCCAAGTGTCAGTGTGCCCTTGTTCTGTGTTGGCAAGTGTTAACTTGTCATTGTTCTAAGACTCCGAGTGTCAGCGTGTTATTGTTTTGAAACCCCCAGATGCCAGTGTGCCACTGTACTGGAAATCTTATTGTCTGTGTCATTTTTCTAGGATCCCCAGTGTCATTGTTCTAGGACTCCCAAGTGTCAATGTGTCATTGTTCTGGAATCCCACAGTGCCTGTGTGTAATTGTTCTGGGATACTCAGTAGGACTTCCTTCATCCTGATTTCTTACCTTTGCTCATTCTTAGTAGCGGACCCTCATTTTTGTGGTCTTTCAGCTCTTCCAGAATGAATTTGGACTGTTCAGAAGGTGTACTTGAATTCTTACGAAGGTCTGGCCGTGGTTGCTCCTTTGGTAAAAACCAAAATGGTATAGTGGCAAGCAGACTAATGGCACCGGCTACTAAGTATCCAAGCCACCAGGTGCCGACCCAACGGGAATCTTGAGGAGTGATCGGCACCTGGTCTGAAAAAAAAAACACATGGTGGACATGGGAGCTTCATGAAACATTCCTATTTGTACACTTTTATAGAGTTAACAGCTTACAGATCACATTTTCTGAGCAGTTTAAAACTAATTTCTGGATTATTTAGAAAGCAAATAAGAAATATTAGTTAAAGCTGGAGAATGATTGGATTTTTTTTTTTTTACAGATTTTTGCTAAATATACTAAATAAGCCTGCACAAATATATCCTCAGGGGTATAGCATTTGTGTGTGGGATTAGCAACACTGTTATCTGCAGGAAATTGAAATATAGAGTTGGAATAATTTGACTAGCTAAACCTCCTAGGATAATTCCTCAGCCTAGGGCTCATTTCTGTCACCCATTTTGTATTACAGGTTTTAGGTGATTTGATTCATCTCACTGCAGGCAGAACTCCAAATCTATATACAGAACAGTCAAGTGCCGATGGTGTTACTGCAAATGATCCCCACTCCATATACAGTACATGCTGGACCAGTGTATGCTATACAGAGCAGGGCTAGAGAAAGTTTTAACAATAAGGAGTAGCCATAAATACTTCTCATAGCTTGGGTTTCTGTTATTCTGGTCCCCAGGTTACAATTTAACTTGATCAGAAGTTTCATATTTCTTCCTGGGTGACATCATCACACATCATCTTGCCTTTTTAAAGTAACTCTTTATAAAAAGAAATTCCAATAAAACTAACAAACTAAAATCTTCTGAAGTTTACACATTACACTGGACAACACAGATTTTGCTTCCTGAACACTCTTTGGTGTATTTTATAGATTTTTGACTGCAAATCTCAAACATAACCTACAATTTAACCTGTCATGTAGCATTTTATAGCTATCTTCTGTTTTTTAAATTTGTATTACCTGTTGGCTTTGCTGCACACATGAAAGAAACCTATGAAAATATGGAACTGTTGTTGAAGCACATCCAATGTACCAAGTAAAACTAGAGTATCAGTGGGGATCTAAAGGTAGTGGCTCTGCTACTTGGATGCAGCTCAGATATACCAAGTACTGCTGCTACATATGGGAATGGGACAGCCACATATTATTATTATACAGTATTTATATAGCGCCAAAGGGTATGCTCAGCGCTGTACAGTAGCAAGGGGGACAGAACATGAGACAAGACAGTAACAATACAATACACGAGGGGTTCGAGGGCCCTGCTCTTTCAAGCTTACAGTCTAGGAGGGAGAGGAAGGTGGCACAGGAGGAGATGGCTGTGGGGGATGGAGTGGCAGGAGGAGGGGAGGAGGTTAGTTGATAGGTGAGGTCGGGTGTTAGGTGAGGTTGGGGTAGGCTTCCCTGAAGAGGAGGGTTTTCAGGGTGCGCCTGAAGGTGAGGAGGGTAGGCGACAGTCTGATGGATTGGGGTAGGGAGTTCCAGAGGATGGGGGAAGTCCTGCAATCGGGCGTGGGAGGAGGAGACCAGGGAGCTAGAGAGTAGGAGGTCCTGTGAGGACCAAAGGGCATGGGTAGGGTAGTATTTGGGTATCAGGTCGGTTATGTAGTTTGGGGCGGCATTGTGAATGGCTTTGTAGGTCAGAGTTAGCATTTTGAATTTGATGCGTTGGGCAATCGGGAGACATTGGCAGAGGGGGGGGGAGGCAGATGTGGAGCGGTTGGTGAGGTGGATGAGTTTAGGATCGACTGAAGTGGGGATAGCGCTCGTTTGGGTAGGCCAGTGAGAAGGGAATTGCAATAGTCCAGGCGTGAGATGATGAGGGAGTGTACAAGTTGTTTGGTGGTGTCTGGGGTGAGGAATGTGCATATCTTGGAGATGTTGCGGAGGTGGAGCCTGCAAGACCTAGATAGCAGTTGGATGTGGGGTAGGAAGGAGAGTTGGGAGTCCAGGGTGACACCCAGGACTTTGGCGTGTGGGGTGGAGAGAGACGGTGGCGTTGTTAATAGTGATGGAGAGGATGGGGGGGGCACAGGGTGGGGGGGGAAGACCAGGAGCTCGGTTTTGGATAGGTTAAGTTTGAGGAAATGGAGCGACATCCAGTCTGATATGTCGTTTAGGAGGTGGGCGATGCGGGCAGAGAGTGAGGGGATGAGGTGGGGGTGGAGTGGTAAATTTGGGTGTCGTCGGCATAGAGGTGGTAATTGAAGCCGTGGGAGTGAATAAGTTTGCCAAGGAAGGAGGTATAGATGGAGAAGAGGAGGGGCCCGAGGACAGAGCCTTGGGGGACCCCGACAGAGAGGGGGAGGGAGGGGGAGGTGGCAGTGTTGTAGGTGACGCTGAAGGAGCGTTGGGAAAGGTAGGAGACGAGCCAGGAGAGAGCAGCGTCCTTGATGCCAAGGGAGTGCAGTTTGGTAAGGAGGAGAGGGTGGTCAACAGTGTCGAAGGCCGCGGAGAGGTCGAGGAGCAGGAGGATAGAATATGGGAATGGGACAACTACAAATACATTGCATTACATTAAAAAGAAATGGCCACAAAGAATTTGGATCCAGGAAAGAAAAACATGGCACATGAACCAATTGTCGACCTGACAGATATTTTTGACAATGAAAAATTGTGAAAGCAATGAACAAAGAAGGTAAAGGTTTTTGTTTTTTGAGCCAGATGTTTCCTAGCATAACTGATGCCAAGATTAAGGATGGTTTATTTGTTGGTCCACAGATCATTGGCCATCGTCATCAATGACAAGCTGTTCAAAGATATGTTAGTGGGGCTAAAGAAAATTGCCAGGAAAGCATTTAAGGATGCTGTTAAGAATTTTCTTGGCAACTACGGAGCACCAAACCAAAAGTTGTCTGACAAACTTCTTACAGCATACAAAACTATGAAGTGGAACATGTCGCTGAAAATTCATTTTATTAATTCACTCTTCATAACTGG